AGTTTGAAGATTTTTGTTGTGGAAGAAAATTGGTCTTAGTCTTGTAAAACCATTGTGGAAATCAGTGTGGAGATTCATCACAAAACTAGGATTAGAGGTCCCACTTAACCCAGCTATTCCCCTTCTGGGTGTTTTCCCAGAAGAATTAAAAACATCATACCACAATGATATATGCATACCTATGTTTATAGCAGCACAATTTGTTGTAGCTCAGTCTTGGAAACAATCTAAATACCCATCAACAGAAGAAGGGATAAGAAAAAAAGAAGAATGGATAAAATGATGTGGTATTTTTATACAGTGGAGTATTACTCAGCTATAAAAAAGATAAACTCAAGGATTTTATAGGTAAATGGATGCAACTTGAGACTATACTCATAAGTGAAATAAATCAGACTCACTGTGTAAACATCCTATTGTCTCCCTAGTGTAAGAACTTGAAAGAGTAAATAAAACCCAAAAGGTACAATAGATATTGTGAAAGGACAAGAAATTTCTCAAAGGAAAGGAACAACTGGGATGAGAGAAAGAAGAAAAGGAAAGAGAGAAGGATGGGAAAAACACATATGTATATATGTATATAGAAGGATAGCTGGGATAATTGTACGGCTGATGTCTGTTGTTTTATTGAAAGGAACAGTTAATGCTTAAATTCTTTTTTTGGACCAGTTTTGCATGTTTATATCTGATAACCTGAACAATTAATCTGAAGACATCAATATGCAATATAATAACCAATGATGAATTCCTACCATCTTGCTTAGTGAAGCTCTGTATCATTTCTAATGTTTTTTTAAATTATTTTTTATTCTCTTTAATGGTTTGATCAATCTTGCATTCTTATGTCTAGTAATCTGAACAACTTCACTGAACATAACAATATGTAATATAACAACCACTATTAATTCCTATCATTTTGTTTTGAAATGCTGTGTCATTTTTATATTGTTTTGTTCTTGTTGATGTTGTTATTCTATTATTTTTTATTCTCTTTAAAATAAAAAAATTAAAAAAGAAAAGTCAGAAAGAACAAGTGCTTAGCAATATTCATAAATCTGGATTGGATGCTAGTTACTAAGTATTACACCTTAATAAATTTGAATAATCTTATAATTTTAATTCTGATCCTCCTGTTCTTATCAGTCTAGTAAGAAAATTTTCTTAAATACCTATTACACACCAGAGCATCAAAAATTGTATTTTAGCTCCTATAGGTTCCATGTGAGATAGAGGATCCCAGTCGCAGTCCCTTCTTGACGCATACAGTATTGTCACACTTAATTTGTAATCCTAGAGGTGACCCCAGGTGGGCTTTTCCGATTACTGCTTTTTGGGTGTAGAAATTGATCTGTTGTGTTTTATTAAACCGCCATGACACTAGGATAAATTCAAATTATTTTTTGAACAAAGCTGAGGTATCAATAAAAGACTGCTTTGCTATTTCAGTCCAGGTGACACCTACTGGGGCTCTGAGGATCTGTCGAAGCCCCACTAACCCGCTTGCTCTCTGTGTCTCTGAGCACCTGCACCCACTCCCTGTTCCTTCCCAGGCTCGCCGGCCCACAAGTCCTCCTCCTTTTCCTTGGAAACAAGAGGGTGTTCTCAGTACATGAGCAGAAATCACCTTCAACACTTTCTCCTGGTCCAGAAGTCACTTAAGGATAAAAAGTCCTCCACACAGGCCTTTCAGTTAGCACTTGAACCTTTCACTGTGGAAACCTATTTAGATTAGTGAAGTGGAGACTCAAAGTCAAGTGTTTGTATTAAATATTTAAATGAGTCCTACTTAGTTTAATACAGGAGCTTCGAGGGTTTTATATCTCCTATCTCAGAAACAGTACTTTTACAATAATAATGAAGACAGTACTAATATCTTGGTCCATTGGGGCTGCTATAACAAGATGACTTAGGCTGAATAATATACAAAGAAGAGAAACCTATTGCATACAGGTGTGGAAGCTTGGGGATATAAGATCAAGGCACCAGCTGATTTGGCATCTGGTGGTCACCCATTTTCTTAGAGCTGCCTCCATTTGTGTCCTCACATGCGGGAAGTAGCCTTCTTTACAGAGGCACTACTCCATTCATGAGTCGCTCCCTCAAAGCCCCATCCTTTAATACCATGATCACAGTTGACATTTCCATATGAATTTTAAGAAGGAAATAAATATTCAGACAGAAGCAACTAATGCTGCTGAAATAGCAAAAATCCTCTTGAAATGCTTCTATCTACATGCTTATTTCCTTCACTAGAACAGTGAAAGGAATCCCTTCAATTGCCTCCTCCCGCAAAGTCTCTGCTAAAAGCTTACCTTGTGGCTGTTCTTCCACCGTGCACATACCTTATGCGCCTCTTGACACAGGGGGACCTGAGAGCAGGCACCATTACCGCATGTTTGTGGAGTCATAATGGATGTGGGTAACTGTGATGTTGTGAGACGTGCATTGTGATCTTGTTGGCCATAATGAGATGCAAGTAGCATGAAGGGAAAGGAGGCCAAGAGGAAGTGGGAGGGAACTGGGAGGACATCTGTTTCAGAGGATTTCACTGAAACTCAGCAAAAACAAGACACAGTAGTTGAAGGGTAGATGACGCAGTGTTAAAGAAGAGGTTCTTATTTTAGGTTGATGGATTTGGTGGGGGGATACGAGAGGAGAGAAGATGAGGGAAGGAATCGCTGGCGTCATTTGTAAGGAAACAGATTAGCCCCAGAGCCCAAGTACAAGGGTGGCACTGCCTGGAGCACAGGCAGCTGTTCCTGGGGAGAGGGTGTCCCTCCCTGTTCACACAGAAAGCAACTTCACGCTGCTGAAGTCAGAACAATATTCCTTCCACGCGGGAGTCACAGTACAACACCCAGCAATGCTGTGATGGTAAAATATGCACCAATTTTACAGGATAATAGTTACCAATTAAAAAGAAATAAAAATTCCAATAATGATGTGAATGGGAAATTAATAGTAAAATCAAATTACACTTGAAGTCACACACTGAACAAAAGATTGTGAGATCAGCAGGAAGAGTAAAAGGCAAAGAGGGGCAGTGCTATGAGATGGGATTCAGAGAGGGGATAGTACAAAAAAGGTGAAAAGATTTTTATTCAAAATAGATGTTTCTGGTGTCCGGACTTTAGCTGTAGTGTAAAAATTAAGTGTAGTATAGCAAAAAAAAGGCATCATTATTCTCTGGGTGAAACTACTTCATGACTGGGGCAAACATTTTAATGGTCATTTGTCCTTGAAAGGCAAGCAGCAGGAAGGCGTCTATAAAACAGATCCCATCGAGTAAGAACTGGATACCTTTACCTTTCCAAAAGCGCTCTGGTTTTTCCTTGAGATCAGGCCCATATTTGGCTTGAGGCTCAGAGAGTGAAAATGAAAACGGATTCTAGTTGGAAAAAGGATAGGTGCGCGTGTGATGTGAGGGCAGGACATGGCCTAGAGATGAATGGGAGAGAATGGCAAGAGACCTTTAGCTACAGTGCGGCCTGATTTCGAAACTGACAAGTGTGTGAGAAAACCACCTCTCCTTCTTCTCAAAGTTTTACCAAATCCTGTCTCGCACTGTGGTTGGAAGTGGCAGAGAGCCCGGGCCATGCTCCAGGGGAAGCCGCTGAGACACGGAGCAGCTGGCAGAAAGAAGGGAGGAGCATGTGCCGACAGTGCTGCAGGAGGCCGCGGGAGCTCAGGGAACACCGAGAGCTGGGGACCGGCAGGGCGTCCTGAGAAACAGCCGAAGATCTGCCTGGGTTCAGGACAGGGCAGGTGGGGCTGCTCAGGAGGAGAACAAGCCCAGAGATGGGGGGTGGGAGTGGAAGGGCACAGGAAGTACCCAGAATTGAGCCGTGCTATGCGCATGTACCAACTCCGTGATGAGTGAGATCATTCTACACTGGAAACATGAACTAATAAAAACAGAAAAGACACTTTGAACCAACCATTTAAAAAAAGAATGATGGTATAAGTGTATCTGAGCAGACAGGGGAGCATTTTTAGGGGTGTCAATGACATCGTGTTTTACTCTAATGGCTAAAAAAATAAAAGAGGCTTGGAACATTTTCAGAACGCTTTCTAACAAAGGACTTCTTACAGTCACTTTCTAATCCTGCTTTACATGAAAATAATGAGAAAATTATAACTATCCTATTTTGCCTGGACTTTCTGGAGGAAGGAAAAAAATACTAACTTCATACATGGCATCTTATCTTGATTTTTGTTGTGTTCATCTTGCTAAATCTTAAAAACTAGCACCTGAATTTTTTACCCAAGTGTCTCAACTTAAGGATAACTCTCTTGAAAGAAAGGTTTTGTGAGAGGCAGACATAGTTTACTGTGTATACTCTGTCTGTGTTTGACAGAGATTTTCGAGTGTGTGGATCAGCATCTTCAGTTTTAGGATATCTTCATTTATTTGTTTTTCAACACTGCTGCTGTACTTCTGTCTGCTTTCTTCTGGGAAGTATAGTTCTACTATAAATACATAAAGTGTTTAGACATGTCCTCACATGCACTTTATCATAGTTTCTATATTTTCCAGCATTTGATCTCTCTGCACTTTAATTTGAATTTTTCTATTGACCTTTTTCTAATTCTTGGACCTTCTCTTCTTCTATAACCAGTTTGATATTAAATCATCTCCTGTGACATCTATTTCAGAGGTGACATTTTAAGCACTTGAATTATTGCTTGGCATTCTAATATTTCATGGAAAATATATAGAGTGTATTGGCAGCTATTTTTTTGCAGATCCCTGCCCTTGGGGTTAGATGTTTTACCCTGAATCTTCCCATGAGTAAGGTAAAGATGAAGCTGCTTTAAAGATGATAATTCTAAGTGAAACTTTATCAGAGGGAGAGGACAAATCACTGAAGAAAAAAACTAAAATTGTGAGGCAACTTGGGGGATGTGGGACCTCCATGAATCTCTAAAAAAAACTGTCGTGGAAACTTAAGTGCAATTTTCTTAGCTTTCTCATATAGATGTATAATTTAGAATAAAAATGTATTTTTATTTTATTTATTTATTAAATGCATTTTTAAAATTGAAATTATCAATAAGATTGATAAATTTAGCAAATAAGATACAGGGCTTCCAAGTAAATGTAAATTTTAGATGATCAACCACTAAAACTCTTCAATATAGTATATCTCATGTAATATTTGGGATGTGCAAATATCAAAAAGTATTCACCTTTCTTTTTCTGAAGTTCCATATTGAGAAAGTGCTTAGCAGTGTTCCAGGCACAGAGTAAGCAAGTGATTATTGCTACTTTATTTTCATTATTGACATTATGATGACAGAATGAGAGTAAGAAAATGTTTAAATTATTTAAAACTCTCTTGTCCCTGGTAGTAAGTGGGTAAAAGTATAAATACTCACAGTGTTTTTACGAGTATGAGCAAATGAAAGATAATACATTAATTTTAAAGAAAACAGCTGCATCTTCCTTTTATTTGAGCATGCTAGGCTACTTCTTAGGAGCTGTCACTACATAGAGAAACTCCTCCCTGGCACTGATAGGAAAGGGTTACTTAGGCATCTACCTGTTTTGCAACTATGGATTATTGTGCAAGAAAAGAAGCAGAAGCGTGAAGTGCACCTCTGCTTCCTGCCTGAGCCAGGGTCTGCAGTCTGGAGAGGAAAGACGGAGCAGGCATGTTTGTGACTGTTCCTTAGCAGGCGGGCTTCCTCTGTGAGGAGCCCTGTCAGAGCAGCCCTGGGGCCAGAGGTTTTCTCTACGGCAGTGCAGCTGGCCTTGTACGAGTCGGGGAAGTCAGTGCTTTCTTGCTGCGTCCTCTCATGGCAGAAAGAACAATGAGCTTCTCTGGACCTCTTCTCTGGGTCACTGATCCCATTCAGTAGGGCCAATTCTCCATCACCTAATTCTGTCTCAAAGGCCCAAGCTCCTAATAACACGACCTTGGGAATTAATGTTTCAACATGTAAATATGTGACAGTCACAGAATGTCATACCATACCATTTCCCTGTTACCTGTGAGCTTCCTTCCTCTGTCTGTCCATCCACTTATTCATCTGTGTATTGGGTCTTCACAAACTCACTCATTTTTTAAACAGCCATTTTAGTACCTTCTCTACATCAGCTACTCTGGGGGCACTGAGAGTGTGAGATAATAAAAACAAGACTTGTTCACTTTAGAAACTCACACTGTAGCAAAGCAGACAGACATAATCAGAACAGAAAACATGGAAAACAGAAAGAAACAGAGAAAACATGAAGAGAAATGGCAATGTCTTATTTGTATACTTTGATGATTTGTTGCATAAAAATGCATTGGTGTACCACCTGCATTAGGAAATTGTCTGGTCCTTAATATCCATGGACTGTGTAAGAATTTGTCACATCAGACCTTGCCCACCATGTGTATAGTCTCTCTTTCAGTCTGATAGCAGAAATGTTTGCAGGGAATGTGCAGAAAAGGTAATTTCCAGTTACAAAATCCCTTCTGCTGTTTTAGCTTCTGAAAAGGGAGAACCAGATCAGAAGAGCTTCATCACTGGTGATGTGGCCTGGAGAACTAGATCTTCCTGCTCAGCTCCTTCTGTCTTGATTACAGAAGTTTCTGTATTTTAATTTGTACCTGGGGCCAGTGCCTCCTTTGCCTGACTCTTTTGTCAGATGCATCCATCTAGACAAAAATATGTACACAGTAACAAGGTCTCGTTTCTTCTTTTCAGTCTTGAGAATTTAGGAAATCTGAGGTTTTATGTTAGACAAGAATTGTACTTGCTTAGGAATAGGTTATATGCATTTTACATGAAAAGTCAATATAAATAAACAGAGAGCTACACCAACAGGACACATGAGCAGAGTTGGTGAGTGAACTGTAAAACACCTTCATGGGCGAGACCAGTATCTGCTTCCTTCTCACCGTCCACAGGCTCTCTCTTTTGTTTTTGCTCTTCTATCTCTGCTTTTTATGCTTTACTGTTTTTGTTAATTGTCCCACCCCATAAGGATGTCATTTGTTCATATCATGTCTACGTTTAAGGAAAATGTGGTAAAAGTCAGCGTTGGCATTCAATTTATGATTTGTAAATCAATGTCTCCCCTCCAGGACCAGTACACAAATGAATAAAACAAAGTTCACACCTACCGAGACCTTCCACCCAAAGAGAGAACTAAAACTCTGTCCACGTGTGAACGAGGTATCAGTGAGAAAGAAGCACTGACAGAAGAGATCGGAGCTGGTGTGAAGTGCAGTGATGGTTAGGCGGATGCTCTGGCTCTGGGTGGTGCTGGCCTTTGTGTTTGGCCCAGACAGACGAAGCAGAGGATTCAGAGTGTAGAGGGGGGAAATGCGGATGCAGTTTTAAATGTAAAGGAAATCTTATAACTTATGCTTCTAACACCATAAAAGATGAACCTGGGAAGCACAGCCTGTTCCCACAGTTAGAAAATTTCAAAACTG